AAAAAAAAAAAAAAAAAAAAAAAAAAAAAAAAAATAGAAAGAAAAAGAAAGAAGGAAGGCGACGAACTTTTAATATCCATATTTATACGTCGTGTAATTATACTCGTCCTTCGCATCACGTCCGTGTAATTCTATACGATTGTAAATTTCCATAGGAATGCCTGAAATAATTTCAGAGATGCAATTTGAACAGGCGATCGTTTCAACAAGATATTAGGCTGCGTAATGAACTCGTTCGCCTCTTCTCCATGGTGTCACATTTTGGAGGATATTGAAAGCATATATTATAGAAAAACCAGCCGGAGGATATGCAAGGAATTCGCATATGAAATTCACTCGATGAAAAATTGTTTATACTTGGAACTGTTGTGAATTTCGTGAAGTAAAAGTAACGATTCAGTTGATTAACCTCAATGAGCGACTGAAAAATGTGAAACTTCCGCTTTGATACCAATACGTTAATTTTACTGTCTTTTTTTTTTTTTTTTGATATTTTTATATCAGGGTAGAAAAGGGAAAACAAGGATACCTTTGTTCTCGAAAATTGTCCAAATTCAAATGCTTTCGAAGACAGTGAAAAATTTTTCTCAGGACTAAATCTATTGTGTTGGGTTTTGAAAATTGATGTCTCCTTCTTCAAACTCGCTGAACAATTTTTTCTCGAACATTTCATCGAACTTTTTTAAATTAAATGACAAAGTGTTAGAATTTCTTGAATTTTTGTCGTCCAAATCTTTTGTAGTTCAAAGTTCGATAAAATAGCAGAGAAAAAAATCGATCTAAAGAGAAAACTTCGATCCTCGGTCGAGAAAAATTTTCGGAGCCGTTTAAAGTTGTGTGATATAACGTCAAACGATCGATCGTCGCATGGAAACGTCGACTTCCGGTCGATCGATATATATATAAATAAATTTTTGCTTTATATATATAAAAATTTATAATTTATAATATATAATAACATAATATTTATAATAATATAATTTAGAATATTATAATATTTATAATATAATTTATAATTATATAATATTTATAATAATATAATTTATAATTATATAATATTTATAATAATATAATTTATAATTATATAATATTTATAATAATATAATTTATAATTATATAATATTTATAATAATATAATTTATAATTATATAATATTTATAATAATATAATTTATA